TTAGAATAATAAAGGTGGATCGACGATACTTGAGCCGTTACAGGGGAGAAATTGACAGAAATATTTAATGTTTCTCCTTAGTAGATCTTCAAAATTAAATTAGCATTTAGTGGATATCAGATCAAATTGGTTCCCGTGGGTTCAATAGGGTTCATGTATATTTATTACACCCTAAAAGGATACGAGTAATAATACGCTGAGCTCAAAGAATTTGCATAACTAATTTGGTGGTTATGAGCGCTCCGTTTAGATATATTTAACTGTAGGTTGTATGTTAACTAGGAACCTATTGTTTTGTATTGTTTACCTATCGCACAAAGAGACTGATTAAACTAATTAAACTTTTTCTTAGTGATGATTTTGTTCTGAAAACGAGTGCTAAAGACCTGGTTAAGTAATCGTTAAATAACTCTGATTAAAGCTGATTGATATTGCAAATCTACAACAGCTTCGTATTAATAATAAATAGTGTAAAACAAAGTCGTTTTCACTGCCCCTAAATTTTGATGCGGTTAATAAAAATATTTATACCTGAGGAAGGTTTATACGTATAATAACAATAATTTACCAATAAATAGTGCAAAAATTTTGTATCATCGTGGCACCCGTGCAAAATCGGCTCTGGTCGCTATCTTAAGTATATATTTTCAATATTTATGAAGATTCTGGACAGTCGTACAGAACTTGAAAGATTTTTGTGCTTTTTCGACCACTTAAAAGTAGTAATTCTACTTTACCTAACCTAGAAAACTACTATGAGTTAAATTAAAAAAATACGTAGAAATCTGTTTAGAAAAAATCACTGATTAAAAGTTACCTTCTTAGGTACAACCCACTTCACTGATTGGTCTATACGTTTTTTTCTGCTTAAGTGCCACTACTGAGCAAAGGCCTCTTCTCACACGGAGTAGGTTTGAGCATCCATAACTTGCTCTAGGTGAACTGGCGGTTTCAAACTTAATTAAAAATAATAAGTCCAGGTTTCTTTATGAGGTTTTCCTTCACTGTATGTCATTGGTGCACATTGGTACTTGCCAGGTTGCCAACTGGCACCCGTATGAAAGCAGGAGCTACGGAATCAATCAATGGAAATCAATATGGAAAACAAATGGTAAAAAACTGTAAGACTCACAGCTAATAATATGTTGCTGCATTCCTATAATCCTTTAATATAACCACTTCAGCATAATGTATATGGTGTCTGGCTCACCTGACACAGACAGACGGTTTGCATCCCAGTTAGATCAATATTCAATTAACCTGTTACGTATTCTTGAGTTATAGTTTACCCACGTTATTCCAGTGGCTATAAATCCAGAAAACTAAACGAGAATTTGTGAAGTGACGACAACGTTTATTATTTTTCAAATTGTAAATATTTCATATTGTTTTCTTGGTATTGATATTTAATAACAATGAAGGGACGATTTCACAACTAAGTATTTCGGTTATCAAACAATACCTTCTGTTAATAAAATATCTATGGATGAGTACCATTATCGGTCGATATACATCATCACCACATAAAAATTCATAGTTAAAACAAATAGGTACTAAAGTTGACTTCAGCCGGGGTTGCGGGGCAAGCGTAATGATGCACCGTGGCCTAAAGCAGGTGAAGGAACGGGGGTTTTTTAGTCAGTAAAAGTCTGACTTTCCCACTTGTCTTACCCTGGGCGAAAGAAATGATTTGATGATTTTCCCCTACCCATCTTCGAAAGAATATATAACACGATGCAAATAGAAAGGCATACATACAATTTATATGTCTACCAACCACACATGTATGTATAGATATACATACTCATAAATATATGGTGCACACTAACAAATAAGAATAGGCCCACAAAGTAAACCCCATCATGTCCCACGAGGCTCCTAGGAAAACCTTTGTAAAATACACCTTGACTCGATTACTATACATCTCAAAGTAGGTTGATTTAACGGGCCCTATTTTATCGGTTTTCCGGTCAGAGTAACTTTAGACTTTTTAAAACATGATTTTCTGTACAAAATTAAAGTTATAAACTTAAATTTTTAGACCAGCCTTCTATCAGTTACAAATTCATATACATACATACAGTGTTATCATATAATTGTAAACCATATTGCTAAATAATAAATAAAAACGCATTTACAAAATGGGTGTGAACTGTTAATTGAAATACCTAAAATATTTTGTCTACTTATGAAATCGTACCTGACACCATTTTAACTTAATACTAGCTCTGACAGCCGTTTCGCTCACAGTTCTAAAGTAAGAAGTAGCCTGTATATTATTCCAGATTATACATAATCTATCTCTGTGCCAAATCATCTATATATCCATCCAATACATACAAAATCTTGTGTTTATTATTTTAGTATAATAAGTAGCAACAAAATTTTAACACCTGACATGGAAAAGGTTACCAATCACATTCATAACATTTGACTACCAACATAACATAACCACGTTCCCATAACTACGAACTCCATAAACGCCCACATCACTATCATGAACGAACAACCTTCGTCACCCAACTATCACACTATACAACAAACATGCCAATAGCAGCCATTTTAAAGTTAGTGAAGCTTCCTGGTAGCGACCATGTCTATCGGCTGTCGTGTGATAAAAGACCCGTGTAATAATCTAGGCTATAATACAACATTTATCAGTAGAAGCCTGCCTCGCGCCAGTGACAAGTGTTTCCGTGAGTGTCGACCGCAATGCCTAACAATACCTACCCTACATCTCTCACTATCGCCACCAGTCTTTCTATTATGATTTCTAAAGGGATCCGTTCCACTATCAGTGTTCTATCTTTGTGACGTTTGACGAATCAATGAACTTTACTTCGTCAACCTATTCGTACCATATTCTATCCTTGTCCTAACATCGTCGGTAACGATAAGAGACGTTCACGTCCCGTTTAATTCAATATTAGCGACGTGTTCCGATAGTTTCCTTCAGATACTATGTATTATGTAATAATTCCAAAATATCAAGTACATTCTACAATTTATTCACATAAAACTTCACTGTATAAGTCTGCAGAAACATTCGCGAACAAACGAAAATATAGGAATCCTCGTAAAAGGAATTTCTTTTTATATTAAAAACGAACTTCAAAGTAAGCAAAAAGAAGGACTATTCAAACATTTTAACTTTCCTGCGAATTTTCCACTAAATAAGCAGGGAGTAGCTGTTAGTCATTTTTGTGAAACGATATAATTTTTTCAACTGAAATTGTTTTGACGCGTTTCAGTAAAAAACGTTGAATTTCCATCATCCATTTAAAATGTTCCGGGACATTGTCGCGTGTTAATAATAAACAGTGACAAATAATTTGGAAGTTGAAAGAGACAAAGTTTTCTCATTGCAGCAAACGAACAAGTTCATAATTATTTGTTGGCCTCAACGAACTACTGCGACGATTTTAATTGAAACAAAACAACCGAAATATGAGACGCGCTTGACCCGCCATTGAGAAGTTAATTTAGTGGCGTATTGCAGAACTAACGGGACATTTTTATCTTTACTTTGTGCTTTGTAGAGGGACTCACTTCCACACTTTCCGATTCAATAAATCGGTATCAAAAGTTCACGAACTCGTGTCAAATATTAGAATGAAATGAAATTGAATAGTACCTAAACACAGCGTTACCATTGGTTTCAAGATCTTTCATAATTTATGTTCGTTGTCCTCGGTGCTGCAAACTTAAATTACTTTTGCGTATGTATTTTTATTTCGTATGAAATTGTGAGATTGTTCGAGAAACGTTGAACCGGTCGCGGTGTAGAGAAATGACTAATATTTAATCGACTGTACGGAATAGAGATTTCATTGAAATAACTTTTTCATAATCATCATGAAGCCAAGTTTGTCTTTTAACTAAATTTGATGATGTGTATATGTTCCGTTGACCTTTTACAATAGTTGGCTTACTTCTGGAATTAAATAAATAACAGAATACTTTTTGTTACCTATTTTAGATATGGATTAGGTACAACTACCTACCTAATATATAATCTAAAGAAATACTTATCTACGCTATAAATGTAGATGTGAAGATTAAATAGTCACCAATATGAACACGCCAGCTACATTGTTCAAAAGTTCCACGTACCTACCGAGTTTCGTGGGTAACTAACAAACAAATCTGAGCAAATATTTCAATTGAGACCTGTCTCAGCCACTACCGAAGTTTGGTTATTATGAAACTGTCGCTGTAACCTAAATTCTATCGAGGAGGTTCAATTAAAAAGTGCCGATACTAATTAAAGTACAGTTTGGCCTGGTCGTTGTCACAAAGTTACCAGGTGGTCGGTGGAACGGCTGACTCTGTCAAACCGAAAATTAGTTTCGAAATTTTGATGAAAACTTTAATTGATTCCTCAAAGCCAATATGTGGGAGCGTTCGTTCAATCGAAAATTCTATGAGTCCGTTCTAGTTTCTATGTAACTTTTCTAATGATTTATTTGACATGTTAAGTAAATAGTCTGTCAGTTTGTAGTCATTACGTTCTCAGAATCTGTGGTACCTACATTTAGGTACGCGTGTAAGAAGAAAGTATTGCTAACTGAGGTACCTAAAGAAATTCAAATTCCCTTTTTATGATACGTATTGATATTAGTGAATCTGCTAACGAATTTAGCATTTAGTTTTGATTCATAAATAAATAAATTAACTATAAGAAGCAGCTTAAGGCATCATCAAAATTTTCAGATAGTTTTTTTAATTTTGGCTGTTTATCAGCCATCGATAGATTGTGCAAGATGATGGAATCTATAACATAAACAAGAACTTCTTCCGAATACTTACATATATCAATTAAATTTTGAGAAACACACCTAAATGATCTCTCCGTATGTTGGTTTATGTTGTGTGTGGACGTGCATTACCTGACGTCACGTTTTAGCCTGGATTAAGCTGATTCCAAATCGACTTGTAATGCATACAAACTAAATCCCACATATACATACAAATAAATATAATGTTTAATTCATTTATGTTTAAGCAAGACACATTTCAGTCTGCAGCTTTTGTTGATCATCATCATCATCATCATCATCATCATCATCATCATCCTCATCATCATCATCAGCCTATAAGTGCCTACTGCTGAGCAAAGGCCTCACTCGGAGAAGGTTTGAGCATTTATCATAACGCTTGCTCAATACGGGTTGACGATTTGAAACTTATAATTAGATTATTATAAGTCCAAGTTTCCTCACGATGTTTTTCCTTCACCGTATGTCAGTAGTGTCTGATTAATCATGGAAAGTACATACAACTCGGAAAACGTCACATTGGTACTTCCCAGGTTTCGAACCCATACCTTTATGCCTTAACATCTGGGCCACCACGACGCCACGACGAATTTTGTTGATCATTTATTAGACTATTATTTATATGTATATGTCGCAGGTACCTTAAGTAGTATTTTAATCAACGGTCACACAGTAGTCGGCTGTTGATTGAATGGCTAATTAAGCTAGGTCTTGACTGCGACATATGTATCACTTGGGTGTATATTAAGCAAGTAATGCTTTTAAATTCTATATAACTTAATAAGAAAATCGGTAAGAAGTAAACTTGTTACCTAATGAAAATCAATTTGATTAAAAGTTTATTCAACAATCTATTTCTGTGGCAATTTTTATTACCTGGTTCCGTTCAGTAATTTACTTAAAAGAGTAACAAACATTCACCAAATACATAAAAACTTTCGATTTAAAAAAAATATAGAATTGTCTTATAGTAAGTATGAGACAAAGATGATTGTTTCTGCCCCGCACAGCAAAACTTTGGAATGATCTTCCGGCGGCGGTATTCCCGAACCGATACGACATTCAAACATTCAAGAAACGAGCGTACGACTCCATACTAGAAGGCCGGCAACGCACCTGTGACTCCTCTTGTGTTGCGGATGTCCATGGGCGACGCTGATCGCTTACCATCAGGTGACCGGTCTGCTCGTTTGCCTTCTATTCCATAAAAAAACATTATTATACATCATGTGTAATGATAATTTCATTAGCAATTCCTAGACACTTACAGCTACAAGCCCTTCATAATTAACACGGAGGTTGAAGTCACCTTTATTGTTTGGTCGGCCATTCTTCTTGCCGTCTCCTCCTAGAATCTGATTAATAGCAACAATATTCAGCTCTTGTATGAACCACAGACATTGTTTCACGACCACGGCTAGAGTAAGTGCTTCTAACTTAGTTTTATACATATTTTAGCTACTAATGCGAAGACCAAGGTATTATGTTGACGGTTACGAGCTATATAAATGTCTATAATAGATTTAAGCATAGGTACATAATGAATAGGGAGAGAAAAAGCGACTTTGTTTTACTTACTATATTATAGTGATAGTAATGCCGAAATAAAAAGAAATACTAAACGTTACAGAAATGATTAAATAATGATGATAAGACCTCCCATTGTACACTCAATGTTTTTTTTTTTAATATAATAGGTTGGCAAACGAAGCTGACGGATGGACAGATGGTAAGCAATCAGCGCCGCCCATGGACACTCGCAACGGAGGAGTAACGAGTGCGTTGCCGACCTTCTAGGGATTAGGGATTTGGAGATTTATGGATTGGGGGAGAGGAAGGATTGGGCCTCCGGTAACCTCACTCACACGGCGAAACACAACGCTGTGGTTATTTCACGCCGGTTTTCTGTGAGGCCGTGGTATCACTTCGGTCAAGCCGACCCATTCGTGCCGAAGCATGGCTCTTCCACACTTGTTTGTATGCTATCCTCTGTAACTATGTGGTGTACAACAAAGTATAAAAAAAATAAAAAATATTTACCTACGCACCTACTTAAAAAAATAAACACAAAAGTAATTTAATTTCGAAAAATAACAATGTTCCAAAAGTTTGCCACACAGATTTATAATTTCTAAATAATAGATAGGTACATAACAATACTTCGAGAAGCCGAAGGCCTTAAAGTTGGAAAAATGTAATTCACTTTTCGTAAACAAAGTCGGAGATAAAAGGATCCCTGAAGTTGATACGACAGGAGTTTTTACATACGCACTCAAAACTTTTTATGGCAATAGATTGGCGAGACTTGACTACTTTTTTATAAGTTATCTATTATTTATAGACTTCTTTTACTATTCCTTTAATAAAAAATTGCATTATTAAAAAAAAAGAACAATAAAGTAATTCTCGCCACATTTTCTAACCTCACTTATTTTCCCGCGCTTTATAACAAGGGAAAACCAAAATGGCCGCGTTTAGCTAAAAGTATCTTCATAATTCTAAACCGTCTGTATAATAACGTGCATATTTTTAAACTTCCCAAGATACCCGGAGAATGTTATCTTTCAATCTGAAAATTTGTGAGTAATTTTATAAAGGGAATAAGCCCCTATTTTATACTTTGTTTATTTTGCGGTATCCTAGTAAGTGTCTGGGGTGAATTTCTGCGACAACTTTACGAAAAAATCTGTTGTAAGAGGAAAAATGGATTGTTAAGATGAATTTCAGAGAAGTAGATTGAAATGAACTAGATCTTTATCGCCACATTGTGCTTTTGAAGTATTAGGGTGTTGTTTAAATGCTTTTAAAGATCGTTTATTGACATTTAATTCAGAAATCATAGCCATCAAGACAATTCAATATTATACATACTTATTTTAATTAATATCAAATCTAAAACCATATTAATTTGATCTGCCTCGTTGAAAATCAAAAGTGCAATTGCCAAGCAAAGGGTTAGGGGTCATTTCAGTCCTCAGGTTGATTTGGTTTAGGAAGATGTCACCACAAATTACTCTCTGATATTTCCATCCAAAACGGATCCAACGGCACTCAATACGTTTTAGTACACTAAAACACTCCCACGCAACAAACCACAATCTTACTTCGGGTTTCCCGCATTAGTTTTGAGGAGTAAATGTATAGTTTGAGTGGTCCAGGATACATAGAGATAGATTTATTATCTAGTAATGATTTAGGAAATTTCAAGGACAGTCAGAAACCAAATGCATGTATAGTTAAGAAGTAAGATGCAATTAATTTATTTGATCCTTAAAAATCCTTGGATAGAATTTTAAGAGCATTAAGTATAATTTTTCACTGCACAAAATGATTATCAGAATCTGATATTTAGGTTATATATGTGTTTCAATTGCTATGTAGGTAATGTACATTAAAAAAATCAATCGTCAGTCAGCTTCAAATTCATTCAAAATTCAAATTACTCGGCACCTTGCGAATACAACCGTACTCTACACACCACAATTCTACATTAGGCTCCCAACATTAGTTGGTTGGGATTACCAATGTTTGTGGATGTACTGCGGAGGCTATTGAAACCGATTCGGCATGTTAAGAGGATACCTATTTATTTAACAGCCTCGCGGGATGAACGGAGTTGCGGCCAACGATAGCTTATTTGCCAATTTGCATCATTAATGTGGAACGCTTAATTGATTTAATATGTAAATGATGCGATAAAATTTTGTTAGCTGTTAACATCTATTATTTTGTACGGAGATTTGGAAGTATCAAGCCAAGTGTATTTAGTTTAGTGAACATTAATGAGTGAACTTCACCATAGCATAAACGCTAATTAATGGTGTCAGAAAATTAAGTGAACTGTCGATTTATGAAGTGATGCCCTCGTTTGTACCAGTACTAATAAGTTGAGAAAATGTTCAAATATTTTTAACACTGTGTAAAAACAGTAAAATATTTGGCAGTAGGTTATATTAACTTTCAGGTACTGCGTGCCAACAAAAGCTTATTGACATTCGTTGACGGATTACAATCGAAATACTGCAGCTTTTTGTAGCATCACCGGGCTGCGTTTGGACCAAACATGTAAAGGTCGTTGAAAAAAACATTTCACGTTCACCAATTCTAGCCATTCTAGGCAACAGGGGTCACCACTAAATTCAGCAGTTGACCTACATGTCAGTCACTATACCTCGGTGCATGACGTCACTGGCTTATCTACGCTGTTAACATGGCCGCTGACACATTATGCCGTCGCAAATTCTACTTAGCTTTTAATCAGTTGCTTAGTTGGCGTTGAATATTCTTGAGAATTTGAGAATATACCGTCATCATAGTATAATTTCGACACTATCAAAACACGGGAAATAACTTTGAAAAAACTTGGAAAATCTTGATAATTTTTCTCATAAAAAACAACTAACAGAAATAACAAAAACTATATAAAAATGCATGAAACCAACAAAATAAGTAAAACGTAGTGAAAAAAGAGCACGCATTTTCATTCACAATTAACTTCAAGGTACCAGGAGTCGATAAACGCTTGGAGCTCTTCGAATTCTTACGAGCGAGCAGCACGATGTTGTCTGCAAACGGCTCGTCAGTTTGCGCGCCAATGTTAATTGTCTAGCCCAGCAGACTCCGTATTGTAATACTGTAGAATTTAAACAATGCCGCTTTTCTTTCGTGAAAAGGATTTTTATACCGCCTGATGGACCACTGAGGGATGAATAGCTTTGAATTACAACTAATGGAGGATTTTTATTTAGAGTTACGTTTGCAGATTTGTTTAAATTTTGTATTGCTCTTATATTTTTAATTTCATGAAATGATGAGGGTAATAGCAGCGTTAATAAGTGTTCTTTACTCCCCTCAATATTGTTTAAGATCAGCATCCAAAAGCCGCAGTATTAAAAACTTTAGCGAGATGTGCTGAGACGGAAACTATAAGCTCGAAGCTTTTTTAAATATTTGCACAAGAAGGCTTTCCTCTAGCTTTTGCAGCGAATTTTTCTGTTTGTTACAAAAGTTGGGATAGAATTAACATTTATCGTCTATAGACAGGATTAAACAGCTCTGCAAGTTACATTTTTATAAAGAAAATCTGCAAATGCGACTGCAAAGTTTCACAGTAGATGCTTTTAGTTTTAGCCCTGGTAAAACAACGTTTCTGGCGGGTACACTAAAATAGTTCAATATCCATATAAAACCGACTCACCACCAAATCTGCACGAACAGAACTAATACCACCTTTTATTGAGCTTTGAGTGATTCTGAACCCAACTACAAATATTCCATGTGTTCGACAAACGTAAAGAAATTGTAGGGATTGTTTCATTTTATTGTGTTACTAACTAAACAGAAAGTTTCATAACCTTTACTTCCAAAAAATTTGCATATGCGCTGGTAAAACAAATACAGACTAAACGTATTAAAACTTCAACTGAACTAACAGATTCCAAAAAACCAAACAAAATGTTCACAAAAAATAACCCTTTGAATACAGCGCCACTCTACCGAATGACGAAATTTGATTCGGCAGGCATTTCGTTTCGGCTAATAAAAGGGGTTGTTTCGTTTGATCCGGTTACAAACAATATAGATTAGCACTTCACAACGGGCTACGGGAACCTAAAGGTATTATTAATAACAAAGGACCATTACAATGCAAGCCTAGATAATGGCTCAGATGAATTTACTCATCGTTTCGGAACCAATACAGCTTATACGAAACCAATTTCTTTAAGGCTCTCATCTACATCATAAGCCTTTGTGATAGGGCTTATGTTGATAAGAAACTGTCCTTTGCTCATGTAAAAGGTAAATAATGTTTTATTAGATACTTTGTGTATTTTGTTATTAGATTCTATATCGTTTGGAAGCTGTCAGTCATCGCTGTGGGTGACGACCCCTATGTCTGTTGGTACTCTCATCGCTTTTTGATCTTTTACATAGTCACGTCTTCGTAACGAATCCATTTTCCCCTATTTCCTTCACATGGTTTCAATACGAAAATTCACTTCTTTAAACTAAGTTTATTTATTATCTACTTTCTTAATTCAATCTCCCGTCTTCCCCATCTTTCTCGGTTTGAGTTTCGCGACAAAAAGTATGATTAGCATAAAAAATTGTTTCATAACGTTTCTCTTAAGGTGATACCATAATTTCAGGGAAATTTTGCGAACATAAGAAGATAAAAGCTTTTATGTAACTGATCTCTTTAACACTTGTCAATAATAACGGAAATTTTAATGTTTGTAATAACATGTATCTATATGTATATGTATACTTCGTGTGAGCAAATAATATTTCAATTACAGAGGAATATGTACCTTAATGTATTTTATTTCGTTTTAAAGATAAAAGCTTTTGGCTTACGCCTCCGTGTATGGATAGATACTTCGCATTTGTTCTTATCAAAAACCACAATGCAATCATGCGACATTTCTGATTGTATCAATATTTTTATTCG